TGGTTGTATTGGCCGGTGAAACATGATTTGAGCTTCTGCCTCCTTGCTGGCGGAGTCTCCCAATAGTCTGACAATTTTGGAGCTGAGATTTGTCGCAAGATGAAAGTCTGGCGCTGAATATCTGACAGATATGGTGGTGAACGGTGTAGATCGGCAACCCTAGCTCTCATTGTGTGGAAGAGCGCCTGAGCATGAGGCAGTGGTGGATGGTGATGGAGAGGCTTAGAGACCGAAAATATTTGGGAAGGAAGATCCCACAGATTTGGCGGATCCGGTGGATCCGGGGGATCAGGAGGGAGAGGAGGGTTCAGCCGTGGTGAGGATAAGGTCAGCTGGAGGTGAGAGAAAGAGAGCACTGGATCTGGCGGCTCCAGCAAAGAGAGGAGACAGGTCAGGAGCTCAGTCCTCAAAAGCATCATGACACTCATCGACAAGGCTGCCGGAGAGCTAGATATACAGATCAAATTCTCACGAGATAGGAGAGATGGATGGCGAGGGTTGACGGAGGGACGCAGCTTCACGATGAGGAAGGTCAACCAGCGGAGTAGAAGTGGAAGAGCTGCATCTGGAAGGCAGAGTAGAGCGGCGGCGGCAGGGCTCCTCAGGCGCCAGGCCTGGGAGAGAAACTAGGGCGAACCTTCTCTCATCGCTCCATCACTTTCCCTCATTCTCTCTTCTTTTTTTCTATGTTTATTAATTGTGGATTCCATAGAAAACCAGAAACAGATCAACAAAAACACAGTAGTGAGAGAATCCCAGAACACCCGCAAATCAAATTAAAATTATATGTTTTATTGTCTATTTGAAAATTAAAGAAAAAGATAAACTTACTCACTATTCACGAACACTCATGAATCGCAACATTACTCACAAGCGGTACTTAATGAGCATTGGCGCAAGACCATGCAAGCAGAGATTGATGCCTTGGACCAAAACGGAACTTGGACTATGGAAACACTACAACCAGGAAAGAAAGCCATTGGTTGTAATTAGCTCTTTCGTCTCAAGTTCAAAGCTGATGGCACACTTGAATGATACAAAGCTCCTTTAGTGGTTCTCGGTAATAAGCAAGTAGAAGGAACATATTTTACAGACCGTTTGCACTTGTTGCCAAAATGACTGCAGTGCGGATGTTGTTAGAGGTGGTTGCTGCGAAAGATTGGCATGTTCACCAAATGAATGTTCATAATGTATTTCTTCATGGTGATATAGAGGAGGAGATCTATATGCAGCTCCCTCCTGGATTCTGAACAACTGATAAAACGCAGCTTTGTCACTTCAGAAAGTTTCTTTATGGGTTACGCAAGGCTCCACGTTTCTGATTACAGCTTCACTCAATCTATACCAGATTACTCATCACTTTTCTCTACTCCAACGGCACAGATCGTCTTCACGTTCTTGTATATGTGGATGATCTCATCCTCACTGCGAACTCGCTTCATCTACTCAAACATTTTAAAGCGTATCTCAGCAAGTGCCTCCATATGAAGGATCTTGGTGTCTTGAAATAATTCTTAGGCATTGAGGTGGCTCGATCGTCTAGTTTCTACCTTTGTCAACGAAAGTATGCCATTGATATCATTACTGAAATAGGTCTTCTTGGAGTCAAACCAGTTGCCTTTTCTCTTGATCAGAATCACAAGCTCGCACTTACATCAGAAGAATTCATGCTCGATCCGGCTCCGTACCGTCGCCTGGTGGGACGTTTGATTTATCTTGATACTACAGGCCCTGATCTGGTTTATTTTATAAACATTTTAAATCAGTTCATGAAGGAACCAAAACAAGAACATTGGGAAGCTGCACTTTGTGGTTCTTTATCTCAAACAAAATTCGGGTCAAGGAATTCTTCTACGCTCAGATTCTCGTTTGAAACTCAATGTTTGGTGCGATGCAGATTGGGCCGGCTGTCCTCTCACTCGTTGTTCCATGACAGGTTGGTTCATTCAGCTTGGTAACTCTCCTCTCTCTCTCTTGAAAGACAATCAAGCAGGAAACAGTCTCTTGTTCTTCTGCCGAAGCAGAATACTGAACTCTGTCATTTACTGTTCATAAGGTGCTTTGGTTGAAAAACTTTCTCCAATTTTTTGGTGTTGATCACCCGGATCCAATCATGGTACATTGTGACAGCTTGGCTGCGATTCTGCTAATCCTGTGTTTCACGAAGAAATTAAACATGTGAAAAATGATTCTCATTTTGTACGTGATGAGATCAAAAGGGGAACCATTGCAACAAGACATGTCACAACAAAGACTCAGCTGGCAGACATAATGACAAAAGCACTTAGTCAAAAAGAGTTTGAGGATTTCAAAGTCAAGTTGGGCATTCAAGATCTTTATGCTGCAAAGTGAGGAGGAGTGTTAAATTATGTTAGAATCTTGATATCATGCATATCTATATCTTTATATTTGATGTATATCTGCTTATACATATAAAGGCAGTTATGCACTATTAGAATATGCAATTAGGTTACACTGATTGTATAAATACTTGTTCTTGGCGTATTCAATAAACAAGATAGAACCTTTACACAAATTAGGTTTTTGACAACCTGCTTTCATCAAACCACTAGGATACACAACGCTTGTGATTGTAACCTCGCCTATTAGAAAAGATGAAAACACATCAGTTTTTCATACAATTCTCTCTCACAAATAGTCTAAAAAGTTTTCGGCGGATCGATCCAAAGGGGTTGAGGAGAAAAAAGTTCTGACCAGTTCTTGCCACTCCTTACATGGATCGCATCAAACGAATAAGATACACAACGCTTGCGATTGTAACCAGACCTAGAGAAATAGACATTGTTCCTCAGCCATGGGAGATTACTTCTCAACACAGAGTTATGAATAACTGATGAAGATTGTCAAGCCATCAAGCCCACTAATATTAATCTCTTCCCATTCCAAAGCGGCTAGTTTATAGACCTTTAGCGTCTCGTTACCGCTTGTTAACATGAAAAAGAGCTCTTTTTTTTTCTCCGCCAAAACTGCGTTTTCGTAACCATTCCATTGCCACTGAGGATAAAGATTCCATTTGTGTGAACATGGGTAAAAGGAATGCAACCACCAGTCCACCCCGTTTAAGCAATAGAATTGATTATTGAGATAGACAATGAGCCTGGCGTAACCCATAAAGAAAAACTAATTGTATATATTGTATTCAAATGATAGTATCGAATTTAAGATTTTATTATATAAAGTTGGATGTGTCAAAATTAGTAATTAACTTAATCGCGATACGTGGTGGTTTAAATCGATAAAATTTCGATATATGTCAATTAAAAAAGAATTTAGGAAATCTAATCTATAATATTAATCCTATAAGAAAAAATAAAACAATATTCAGAAAATATAAAATATGTTTCAATCTTATATAATTAACTAAGATAAACTTCAGTTAAAAAAATCTAAGATAAAACACTTATCGTAAAAAATCTAAGATAAAACACTTATCGTAAACACTTATATATAAACAAACAAAATCTCTAACAAAAAAAATCTAAAATTTTTTTTTTTTTGATTTCAAAATTATGAGGATTTTGATAATCTAAAAGATAAGATAGAAAATTTATATGGTATATTCATTATTTTATTCTTAATTAGTTTATATGTGTGTATATAGTAAAATATATGTTTAACATTTATTTTTATTTCAGATGTAATAAAATATATTAAAAGTATGGAAAAAACTGATGTGTGTAGTAATAGTACATCTACTCTAAGAAAGGTTACTGACTTTGTTAAAAGCGTAAGTTTTTTTATGCATTAATCTATCTCTTTTTAAATTCAATGAAGACCAAATTTTTATCCTTTAAGATTTGTTTGCTGAATATTAAATATATCTAAAGTGTTTCTGGTATTCAATAACTAGACAATTTCAAAATAATGCAAAATTTGTAATGTAGGATTACATGAAAATGAAATCTTAGATGCTAATGATGAGTTTAATGAGGAGGAGGATCATCGAAAATCATGTAGAAAAGCTTTTGACACGAGTCTTAAGAATTATAACTTCTCTAGAAAACAAAAAGATTATATATGAATGAGTCTAGAGAAAACTAAAAAGTTTTTTTTTGTTTGGAAAGAGTTAGTGGAGAGAGAGTTAACATAATTGAAAGATTTGAAATACATACCCAAATTTTTAACACAGGAAAATAGAAAAATAGTTGATATAGTGTTAAACTACAAATGAAGTAGGGTTAATATTGCTAAAAATCTGCAACAGATTTTGTGTTTTGAATATTTTAATTAAAAATAAACAAGAATTAAAATAAACAACTTTGAAATTTTGATTTTGTATTTTTAATATATTTTTTCATTAATGATTTGATTTTATTTTCTATTTTTTTAAAAAAAAATATTTTCATAGATTTAAAAATTGTTATTATAAATCCGCATATATGCAGGTCCTAATCTAGTTTTAAATAAAGTTGTAAGAACAACAACTTAATTTAGATTTAATTTCCATTAATACATAATTTTAATATTATGAAAATTTATGTTTACTTTTTAATGATTATAATGTGATTTAATTAATAACTAACAAATTAAATATATATTTATTGAAAATATTGAATGTACCCAAATTGGTCAAACGCAAACCTCAATGTAATGTTTGTGGTAACATAATAAAAGTTCAAATAAATTGTAATAACCATCAGAAGTTCAAATTATAATGATAAAAACACATAAATCATATTCAATTTTTCCAAAACATCAGAAATGATATTCTATTTATTTTGTAAATATAATAATTTATTAAATTTCTAAAAATATGTTTATGAGAAAGTTAATAATTTATTTGACCAAAATATAAATGTTGAGATGTTATTTATTAATTTTATTAAAAAGAAATAGTTACTGGTTGACCTCAGGGTTTGTTTCCTAGTAAACGAAAAAGGAAGTAAAAATCTAATATTTGACCCCAACAGAAAATACCTAATATAAATATGATTATAGACACACCTATTTCCCACAGTTAAACTCGTTCTCTTTCACTCTCTCTCTCTCAAGTTCAATCAATCTTTTTTATAACAAATCATGGTTTGGTATTTAGATGTTGAACCCGCCTCATATGTCTCCTTCGACCTAGTCCGCAGCGAGGACCAACACAACAACAAGAACTTTGTGTTCGATTTCGAATTGGTTTACAGACTAGTCCCTGAACCAGATTCAGATTCGGATCCAGACGAATATCTCGATGTCAGCGATCGGGAAACTCGAATCATTCATCAAACTTACGAGTTCGATAGAGCCTGGCTCATCGGTGGCGACAGGGATCAGATACAAGCCACAATCTTTCAGATTCTCGAGATGATCCAAGTCCCTTCTTACAGGGATATCGTTCATACATTAACTCTTGATTTCTTGGATCTGAAGAAACGCGAGGCCATGACTGATTCACCTAAGGTTTCTTTTTTGTTCTGCATGTTATCTAGTTAATTTATTTTAATGCATGCTACTTAGATCTCATTCCAAATTTTATGTTTCACCTAAGGTTGACAGGGTAAGAGTGGAGATTGATGTTGTCGTCTATAGGTTCCCCGGTAATGATGACGACGACGTGGAGGTGAAATTTTCGGTGGCTCCGGCAAGTGATGATGCCGTGGAGAAACACTTTGAAACGGTGGTTGTTGGGAATGATGATGAAGGCGACTGTATGATTTGTATGGATACCATCCGGGGCGGGTCGGGTGTGGCGGCTGGTCGAATGCCGTGTTCGCACGTGTTTCATCGGAAGTGTGGAGAGGAGTGGCTTAGGAGCAGTGGGATTTGTCCGGTTTGTCGCGCCGTCTTCCCGCCGCTTTAGGCTATTGTTTGAAAGTTGTGTAATTGAATAAGTATTTTCATTATGTAGTACTGTCTTGATTTGATGTTGTTGTTTGCTTCTTTTTTCAGTTTTATTAATACAATACTATACTTCGGTATAGTGTAATTTCAGTTTTATCAATACAGTGTTTTAATTTAATGTAGTTCTTCTTTATTTTATTTTATTTCAGTTCTATCAATAGTTCAATACAATATAATACTACAGTATGTTATTTCAGATTACACAATAGGTAAAATCTGATAGATAAACTAACAATTTGTTATGTTTTTAGCTTTCCATATAAAATTGAAAGACTTTTGTAGCGATCAAGAAAATAAAAATGAGAATTTTCTCTGTTTGTGTAATTGGAAAAATTCACTGAGTTTTTAGGCTCTGATATCAGATGATATAAGATTGGAAACCACTCTACAACTTTTAACACATAATAAACAAAACTGATCAAAGAAGGTTAGCGCAGAAGGAGATGAAGGTGAGATGGTGATGAAACTTATGATTGACTCATTCAATTGGTGGGTTGACTGATTCACTCAGTCGGTGGGAAGACTGATGAGCCTTCAGAACTAAACTTGTCTGGATCACACAAACAAATCTATTCCAAAAATCAGTAGAAACAAATGAATCTAAAAACAAGTTATTTAGACAAAGAAACACTCTATGAATAAAAAAAAAGAACAAACTTGTGATCTCCCATATAAGACATTACAAGAAAACAGACATTTCGCGACCACAAGTTGCGACTACATATACAATCACTAAATTTGGCGACTAATTACCGATATATTTGCGACTAATTTGCGACTATAGTCGCTAAATTGCGACTAAACTATGTAGTCGCCAATTAGTCGCTAATTTGCGACTAAGTTGCGACTCTTTATGAGTAGCTGCATTATAGTCGGAAAACAGTAGCAAATTAGCGACTATTTTGCGACTATATTTACGGCGGGTTTCAAAATTCCCGTTAGGTAAAACATATGTTATTCGTTTCGGGGTTGGTGTAATGGTTTTTTGCGACTGAATTTTGTAGTCGCAAATTTAGTCGCAATGTAGTCGCAATTTAGTTGCAAAAAATCTATATATACCAACCTCACACATTCCTTTCCCTCGCTCCACATTCTTTCTTTTTTTCTCTCGTAAACACACACGAAAAATTGAGAGAACTTTTTTTAACAAATAGAAAAATGTCTGGAAACTACAATTATACGAATGGTCGAGAGTGGGTGTATAAGAGGTTCGATGAAGCGACGAGAAATTTCTCGGCAGAGTTTATGGAGGGGACAGATCAATTCATGAAATTTGCAAATAGCCAACCTCTTGCACAGAGATGGGATTTCACAACCTCGAGAGCTAACCATAGACGAGGACAACAACCTCTTTCTTCAGGTAAATATGGATATCATCTTTCATTAAGCATATGTGTTTTCATTATTAACACTTTTTTTTGCGTTTTCAGTCAACAATTATCGATGAAAAAGGCAATGCTTATGGTATTGGAAGTCTAGGAGAGTCTCACGGCAACGACAAACGCAAATATCCAGGTAGCTCTTCTTCGTCTTATCACTCGCTCCAACAACAACTGGAAGAAGATCAGCGCAAAATAGAAGAACAGATCGCTCACAACTCTCGGCTTGAAACAGAGCTAGCCCGACAAGCAGCCGAGCAGAAGGACTTGAGTTTGATGGAGCAATATCTTCGCAAAACTGACCCGACATACCTTGAGTTCCGCACTTCCCAATCTGATCCAACTCACTCTTCTTAGGTTTCTATCATTTCAAACTTATATGTACTATTTGTATTATATTTGGTTGTTTAGATGTTTTTTTGCAAAGACAATTTATGTTAAATATGTTTAGATGTTTTTTTTGCAAAGACAATTTATGTTAAGTATCTTATTAGTAACTTTTTGGTTATAAGCTTTTTTTTTATATAAAATTTTCATTTGCAAACAAAATATCAAAATCAAAAATTGGTTATCAAAAATACAAATTACCAAAAATAAAAAATAAAAATAATAATTAGTGGCTATTTAGTTGCAAAGTAGTCACAAAACAGTCGCTAACCAGTCGCAACATGTAACTACTATAAAAAGTCGCTAATCAGTCGCAAGTTTTAGCGACTACAAATGTAACGACTATAAAACAGTCGCTAATTAGACGCACTATTTTGCGACTATTTTAGTGACTACATATGTAACGACTACAAAATAGTCACAAGTCGTCATGTAGTCGCACTTTGATCGCTAGATTTTGCGACTGATTTGCGACTGTTTTTGTTCGACATATGTGTAGTCACTAATTAGTCGCAATGTTGCGACTAATTAGCGACAAAATATTAGAGACTAGGATATCGTTTCTCATTTATTCATGATGTGTTCTCCAAGGGATATTGTTTCTCATTTACCCTTGGCTAGACCATCATGTCCGTTGATCCTCTGCTCCAAGGTTGATGGTATCCTTGATATTGTATTATCCTCTCCTTCTTCAAAAGGTTTTGTCCTCAAAACTAGTTTATCTGCACATAGATAACTCAAGTTAGTATCATGAATTATAGGAGAGTTCAGAATCTTACCTTGCAAACGGTTTTGGTTTGTGCTCTGGTGGAGCTGATGTTGGGTATCTGGGAATTTTCCTTAGATCAAGTGGGTAAAATAACTCATCTGGTCTGGTATGTTGCGTGGCTCCCCTGTTTTGTAGCATTTACCCCTTTGTTTACCTTGGGTGGTGATGTTTCTTTGTGTTGAGCTTATTTTAACATCATTCTCTTCCCTGGTGGAACTTCTTTGGGGTTTTTCTCTTGAGTACCTGAAATAAACTCATCACTTTAGAAAATTAACAAGTGCATTATGGGTTTCTTATAATGAGATATAGTTGTTAACTTATTCTCTTCATGCTTGAAGTAACAAATCTTTGTTCTGCTTTTAGTTCTAAACAAAGCTTTGATTTCTCAAATTCTTTTAAGTTTTTGAAGTTTATTAACTCAGCTACTAAACTATCAAGAATAATTCGGTTTAGGGAATTACTTACCTGAATAATACTATTAGTGTTTTTTTTTGCTCAGAAATTATGGTGAGAGGACTTTAGGTTGAATCTGGTGATTTCTCCTTGATATGTTTTGTACATAAAACAAACTCTCAAGAACAAATGCATCATATCTAAGTTTAAATTTATATAGATAGACCTTGAAATATTTAAACTCAAAATGATGGTGTTAGCTAGTTGCATCTGTTGCTCTTTGTTCACTTGAACTTTTCTGTTTTACTTTTAATCTAGAGATCACTAAGGCTTCTCCTTTATCATTCTTTATTGGACAATTCAATTGTAGAATCTGTTATCCTTGTAGTTTTTCATCTATGCTTGTTGCCCGTTCTTTTTGTCTTATACCTTATCAAAACGATTTGGCAAAGACAAGTGCATGAATCTAGAATTGGTAATTAAATTATCAGAATGAAATAAACTATCACTATCTTTTAAATTTTTCTATTTTCTCTTCTAGGGAAGTTTCAATTAACATTTTCTTAATAGGAAAATTTTCAGAAAAAAATCCTCTCTTATGGCATTTATAACTTATTGGATCTTAAGAATTTACAAAGTTAGAAGACTTACCTTGGTTTAGGGTATCTTGCAACTTTGGTAGAGAATTGTAGCTAGTTGTTGTTGCCATGGGTGCAACTCCAGATTCTTCTCTTCTCATAGAATTAACTTTAAAACTGTGATTTTTCTCTGTTTTCTCCTCTTTCCATTTTAAATCTTTCATAAGTTGTTGGAGCTTTTTCTGTAGCTCTGGCGTAAATATAAGTGTAGATGTTGGCTATTGCTGATCCTTTTTTACTAGAAAGATGTTCTTAACCTCTGTTTGACATCGTGATGTCTTTGTAGACATTTTTTTGGGCTCAGAAAAATAAGTAATCTTCTGCTTAAGAGTAGACTTCGGTTCTGGGGTGGACTTTGCTCTCCTTGTTGTTTGCATTGGGGCTTAGTAGTGGTGCATTTGTAGTCTTGATACTTCTTTACAAACTCTCTATACATCCATGCTTTAGTGGAAAACTTGACGGTGGCTGTTGCGATGTTAGATTTTAGTTAAGTTATATTTATTTTCCATTTAATTTTCGTTTATAAATTTGATAATTTGCTATTTAAAACTCTGTTATTAAATTAAAACCTAAATGGTATGACTGTAATTAATATAAATAGTAGTGGAAATCTTGTTAGGCTCTAACTGGTGACCTTTAAAAAAATAATAGGAATGAAAAGGAAAAGAATGAAAGAAACGAAATAATATGAATGAATGAGAATGAAAAAAACAAATAAATATATTTTGTTCCTCTCCAAATTTGATAAGAAATAGTTTTGTTCTATTATTCCTTTTAGAATAGGAAATGGTAAGGAATAATGTGGAAACAATATTCTTAATAAATGATAAAAAAAATTAAGGAATGAAGAGGAATTCATTATTTCTTTGGTCACCAGTTACACCATAATTTAGTAAATTTTCTTTCACAGATGTTATTCTAGTAAAAAGCATATATATTAGTGCTAATCTGTGTAATTTTTTTAATCCAAATACAATATTTTTGTTATCCAACATGGTGGATAATTTCAAAGCTGGAAAAAAAATATCTCATTTGGTAGAACTATTCTAGCTAAATCATGTGCTACAATATTACAATATCATTTGATATGAGTAATTTCAAAGGAAAATTAGAAATAAAGGATGTTTTTTCAATGACTTTGTCCATCTATACCTTCTTAACCAATTTTTGGTGAGATATATCTTAGATTAATTGAAAACTAAGTATATCCTTTAATTATTAAATTTTATGTAGTTGTTAATCAATAATAAATAACGTAAAACCAAAAACATAAAAATTTACCTTTCTTCTTTGTTATCACCACCGGCCCCATCGTTTTTTCTCCTTAGCATTAATCTCTTATTCCTCACCAACTCTTCTTCTTAATCCGATTTCTCCGTCAACGTCAAAGAAT